GCAGCCATCGCACCTAGGACAGAAAAAACATTTGCCGCGGTGTCCGATCCGGAGCGGCGCCCGCCAGAGCCCCTGCACAAACCGGATGCACTGGCCGTGTTCACCGACGCCGCCGTCGCTCAAGCTTTGCGTACCGCCAGGCGAGGCACCGCTGCTGGGCTGCCGAGAGTTACGTGTTATCACGGGCAGAGCGGAGCCCGAGTCCTCCAAACCGCTGTGCTAGCTGGGCGGCGCGCAGGCTATAGCCGAGAAGTGTGTTTCCCCTTGCTCGAGCAGCCCGGCCAGGCAGCGGGCTGCGGCAGCGTCATGCGCAGCGGCATAGTCAGCCGTGAGGTGCGGCGGCAAAATGCGCAGCAGGTAGTTTGCCTGCGGGGCCGCGCAGCTTTGGAGGAGGAGCCAAGCGGCTTGAAGATCGTTAAGCAGCGGAATGCGGTCCAGAAGCCGGTCTTGGTCCTAGCGTTTGCGTTGCAGCTGGCGCGCGACGAAGTCGTCGTGGCCGAGCGGAAAACCTAGCACGTTGAGGCCCTGGCAGTCAGGGGGGAAGCTCCAGTTGCCAACCCAGACAGGCTCACTGCTCCCGGCTGCGAGGTGAGCTGTGCTTGACGGCTTGTAGTGCTCACCCGCACACTGGGCATCACTGGGCATCCTGCCGAGACGCTTCCTGTCATCACTGCACGGGCGCCGGCAGCTGCCGCAAGACTCCTCCAAGCCCTGCGAGGCGACGCCGCCCTCCCTTCCGCTGCCACCGCAGTTGTTGTGGTAATACGCCTGCGACAGGCCGGCTACGATGCACCGGATTGGGATACCCACGGCGCTGGTCCGCCCCCTGACAACACGCGTCGGCCCGGCGAGAACTCCGGGCTCTGGCCGTTCTTTTGGCTGGCAGCGGCTCGCTGCCCGAGCCTGCGATGAGCGCGCGTTCGGGACGCATCTTTCTCAACTCTCCCCTGCGTCCCGTGCGCTGCTGCTTTCGCAAGGACGGCCCTTTGCCGCCAGAGCCATCAACGTCCTGCCCAGGCACCGCGACGTCACCATCTCAAGCGCCCTGTTCCGCGTGCTTTTGCTGCGGCGTTTGCGCATGCCCCTGCCGCTTGCGCCGCGCAGGTGCGCCTGCCACGGGCTCCATGACCCCGAAGGTGTCCGGAGTCTTGTCAACACGTGCACTGCCCCTGGAGCATGCCGTGGCCCGTGTTTGCCGAGAAGCAGGTGCCAGAGTCGCGCGCAACGTCCGATTCGCCGACATGAATCTCGATGCGCCCATCGCCGATGAGCGGCGCATCGAAGTCGTCGCCAACGGCCTGCTGCTGTGGCACGGGTCCCAGCTTGCCTTTGATGCCACGATAGTGTCCCCCCTAACGCGGCAGGGCGAAGCCCACCCCCGTGCAGACACGCAGCCGGGCTGCGCTGTCCAAGCCCCGGCGCAAGCGCCACAGCACGTACCATGAACTCGGCAGAGCCCGGAAATGCCGCCTCGTCGTTATTGGTACTGAGGTTGGCGGCAGGTTTTGCACCGAAGTTGTGTAATTCCTGCGCGTCTTGGCGCGGCACCGGCCGCCGTGCCCACCGCGATCACTGCCTGGGTCGCGCGTTGGTCTGGCCTCCTCGCAGTCGCCGCGCAGCGCGCCCTGGCCGCCTCTCTCTTGAGTTGCCTCCCGCCGGTGACCTGGGGGGCGGGCCCGAGCCAGAGCTGCACGAGCTCCTCGCTGAGGCGCGCTGAGAGCCTCAGGCCGACTGCGTTGGGCCCTGCCGGTCCAGCAAAGGTACTGCTAGCACGCAGCTCGCACCGGGACGTTTCGTACACTGCTGCCGTAAAAAGGTGCGGGGAAAAAAAAAACTGTTGCTCGACGACGCTGAGGCGCTCGAGCTGTTCACGTGCGCGGCCAACCTCCTTGTCGCCGCGCACGTCCCTGCCGATGCGGCAAACGCCATCGGCCTGTCACGTCTTACCGCGCTTAGCAAGCTCGGCGGAGGCGTCCGCGGCATCGCCACCGGCGATACTTCCCGGCGCCTCGTGTCTCGCGGCCTTGCGCGGATGTTTGCTGACACCTTCGACGAGGCCACCCGACCGTACCAGTTTTAGTTACAAACCAGGGATGGCACCGACGCACTTACAGGAACGCTTCGCGCCGCTGTCGATCTCGACTCTGCGGCGACCGTCGTGCCACTTGATGGCCGCAGCGCCTATGACACGATCTCGCGCACTGCGTTCCTCAGCAAGCTGCATGCCGTGCCCCGGCACTCCTCCCGTTTCTGCGCCTCTGGTACGGACAGCAGTCCACGTACTTTTGGTGGGACGCCGATGGGCGAACCATCCATCAGGGAGAAGGGTGCGAACAGGGGGACGCCCTGGCACCTACGCCCGGGGCCAACACGACGCCCTCGTCGCCGCAGACGCGCAGCTGCACCCCGGCGAGTGCCTCGGCCTTCCTCGACGACGTCTACGTCGTCACGACACCGGCCCGAGCGCGCGAGGCGCTTGACGTTGTTACTTCCTCCATCGAGACCCGGGCGGGCGTCGCCGCAAACCTCGGCAAAACCCGGGCGTACAACCGTGATGGAGGGCCTGCTCCGCCTGGCATCGCCGACCTCGGCACGAACGTCTGGCGTGGAGGGGGAGCGCGGGTTTGTTGCGCTGGGCACCCCGCTGCCTGGGGCGCAGCACCCGCCACTCGAGGACAGCCACCCCCCAACCGACGAAAGAACCGGCGTCACCTCATGCTCGAGGCAAGCGGCGGGGTTTCGGATGAGTCAGCGAGGACATCGCTCAATAAGGGTGTTTCCCCATCAAGGTTCGCAGTGCCGGAGAGCGGCAATGAAAGCAAACTGCCCGCGAAGGCTCGCGGCCAAAAGCCCGGACCACCGTCCGACAAAGGCGGCAACGCAAGCAGCTCGTTGCGAAGGAGCTGTTCCGCGGGCCCGTGCACGCGCAAGCGTTAGCCGGATGAAGGTGGCAGCTTCGGCACTCCAGCGGCCACCAACTTCGGGACAACCAGCCCACACGGTTGGGCAGCAGCAAACTCGGGGTAAGTGCTTTCCTTGGCCCGGCATGCATCGGCTAAGGCTGCGCCAGCAGTGTCGCCGCGACGGCGGCGAGGAACTCCGGCTGAGGTGAGGCGCGAGACCAGCGTCGTGTCAACGGCTAGCTGCAAGCCTCCCGACAAAGACAACCCATTCGCGATAACCTCAATGCGACGGTGTCAGCCGCATCCACACTGGCATGCGTGCCAGGTCAGCCTTCCAGTCGCCCGCGTATGCGTCGAAGCGGCTGCCGAGCTCGGGGTATGTTGGCCATGGCAGTAAGCCTCGTGAGAAAACACCCTTGCTGCTGAGCGACGTGCTCGCAGAGTAATCCCTTGAGCCGCCTGTTGCCAGCCGCATGCCCCAGACAATGTAGCGCGCAGTCGGCCTGGACTTGGGTCTGCACTGGGAGCGCCTAGCTTGGGACGCAAGTAAAGAGGTGTGTTAACCAAAGAGATACAAGGGCAGGTGCACCGTCGTCCAGGCCGAAAATAGTATGCTTGGAATTGCTTGGACGCAGCGACGCGACGCCATACAATTGAAGGCTGCTGCCAAGGCTGCTGCCACATATCCGCCGCGGCCACAAGCCCAGGCGTTTTGGGGCTTTCCTCAAGTACCCTCCACCTAATCCTCCTCCCTGTTTTTTCCTTCACTTGCCACCCCTTGCCCGGCTTCCCTTCATTTTGTCGTTTTTTTTGGCTTTCCCCCCCTATCCACTCTTTTCCTGCTCCCCTCCTCGCCTTCTTCCTGCACCTGTGTTTCCGCCGTTCGTTCCTCCTTGCACATGCTGAAATGTCTCGCCGAAATTCGCCATTCGCCGAAAAGCAGCTCTACGGCACTCCCACACCTGTTAATCGTGGGAGTCTTGCTCAACGAAATCTCAATACAGCCGGGACCTGAACAGATTTCTTGAGTGTTACAGGAGGCGTTGCCGTTTCATCCGGCCCCTGCACCTGAGGAGCCGAGGCGGGTGGCGTAGCGTTAAAATTAGGTAGGTTTTTATTGACACCGCCACATCTAAGGCAAGTCTGTACACTTCTGTGGCCCAAGGGTGTCGAGGTCTACCGCGTCGTCAAGCAGAAGCAGACAGTGTTAATTGAAACGAACCACCGCGAAACACAAATGTCTGGATCACGTCCTCTGACGGGAATGGTGCAATACGTCCCAAAAGTTGCAGCTGTCGTGGTTGCAGAACGCAGGTTAATTTGGCACGGTTTGCTTGTCACAGTACATGTTCGTCCGTAACACCATTCACGAATCACTGCGCGAGGCGAGGTTGGGCCTTCTTTCGTGATGAGCACGGTTTTTTCGCCATGCTTTCCCGTCACAGGTCGGAGTGCGGCCGTGTGTTGAGGTGACCCTGCTGCATGGAGCTTTGTTCACGATCTGTGCTGCTGCCCCTTGTTTGTGCGTGGCGATGGGCATGGACATACCGTTCCCTGTTGTTTGTGTTCAGACTCAGTTCAGACTTTCCGCCGGCCACATGCACTTTGTGGCTGGTGTGTGCCAGACCCACTGTTCATGGCTGGAAGGCATGAACGCATGATTTGACGTGGCTTATCTAGCACTGTCGAGCCATTCTACACAATAAATCGTGTTGCTATGTTATACTATATCACTTTACTGTGTTGATACAAAGGTTGTAGCAACTAACAGGAAAACGGTTGTTTCAGGATTCACGCTGCTGCTCAGCCGGCTTATGTGCAAGCAGCAGCAAGTAGAGAGATTGGTTGAAGGCGATAGTGCCGCTTCAAAATTCAAGGTTTGATTTATTCATGTTGTAGCTTGGTGTCATGGCCAGAGCTGCCAAAGGTGCATACTGTACATACAGTGAATAGAATTTTCAGCTAGCCGATTTGCCAGCCTCAGCAGTTTGACCATCGGACTTGACAAGCTTGACGTGAACTTTTCATAGCGCTGAATGTGCACGTAGTTCGGAGACCAAGCCCGCCATGACGTCATTCGATGTGCTGGATGCGGAGATGGAGCGTCTGAAATCCATGTCCGGTGGCGGTTCGAGTTTGGAGCCGATATTGTGTCTTGTTCGCGCAAGTCCTGGTTGGCGGTTTCCGTGTACCATTTCGCAGAAATTGTAAGCGATGTGGAGCATGAAACGAATTGAGGCGAGGTTTTCATGATGCTGGATTCCAGGCTGCTGTTCAGCCGCTTGCATGTGTTGAGCGTTTTAATGTGATGCGGGAAAGATGCCGAGCTTCGTGCTTTTCCATTAGGGTTTTGTCACGAGGCAGTTTGCTGCGGAGAGGGCAACGCACTTTCAAGCCACATGCCCTGATGGCTCGCAGCCATTGATTTGGACACAGCAGGGCTCTCAGAGTGAGTGGAGGTGCCCATTTAAAGCCGTAACGGTGCAGCCAGCAAGTGTGGCGAGGTATTTCAACGAATACCGCGAGCTTTTCGAGATGCACTTGCGACACATACTGCACGGCCTGGGGATGACCGAAGATACATTCCATGAGCTGTGTGGGTACTTGCAGGAGAAATGGGCTGGGTGTGTGTGCGGAGTGTGCGTGCCTCTGCGTCCATTTATTTGCCCCTTCTGGCTTTTCACATTGGAGATCATAGCAAGGACATTGAAACCGCATCTCTGTGAATAGTCAGGGTGGGAACCGGGCACCCGGCCTGGATGCAAAAGGATGGCAGGTTCATGGGTCTCTGCAACTCAGAAAACCTATGTGCGCCTCAAGGCTTAGGTTGAGGGTGCAGGCTTGCCAGATCCTGCAACAACCTTTGTGCAACACCTTCGCTGCGCAAAGGGTATCATTCGCTGCTTCATTCAACAATGCACACACACACACACACCCGCACAATCACCCCCCCCCCTTGTGGCTTGAAACGGAGGGGCGGGGGTGAGGCTCTGAAATATTTCAGGG